TCTATAGGGGCTACAGGGTGTGCAGGGGGCTATGGGAGCTATAGGGAGTGCAGGGGTCTATGGGGGATGAGGAGAACCTATAGGACCTACATGGAGTGGGGGGGGGCTATGGAAGCTATAGTGGATGCAGGGCTCGCAGAGCATCTATAGGGGATGCAGGGGGGCTATGGGAGCTATAGGGGATGTAGTGGTTGCAGAGCATCTATAGGGGCTACACGGGGTGCAGGGGGGCTGCGGGAGCTATAGGGAGTGCGGGGGTCTATGGAGGATGAGGAGCACCTATAGAGGCCATAGGGAGTGTGGCGGGGGGCTATGGGAGCTATAGGGGATGTAGGGGTTGCAGAGCATCTATAGGAGATGCAGGGGGGCTATGCGAGTTATAGGGAGTGTGGGGGTCTATAGGGGATGAGGAGCACCTATAGGGGCTATAGGGGGTGCAGAGGGGACATGAGGCCTATAGGGGTTGCAGAGGGGGTGGAGAGGAGCTATGGGGGCTACAGGGGTTGCAGGGGGGCTATAGGAGCTATGGAGGCTGTGGAAGAGCTATAGGGGCTGCAGTACACCTATAGGGCCTATAGAACTTGCAAAGGAGCTATAGGGGTGGCACAGGGGCTATAGGGTCTGCAGAGACACCATAGGGGTTGAGAGGGGCTATAGAAGCTATAGGGGCTGCAGAGGAGCTAGAGGAGCCATAGAGGCTGTAGGGGCTATATGTCCCAGAGTCTATAAGGGCTCTAGGGGCTAAGGGTGCCCCTATAGCCAGGGGCCTATAGGGTAAATAGAAACTGCAAAGAGGCTGGAGAGCAGCTATAGGGAAGGGTATGGGGGGGCTGGGGAGGCCTATAGGGTCTGGGGCAATGTATAGGGGCATGGGGGGGCTACAAATGGGTCGCTATAGGGGCCAGGTGGCTGCAGAGGGGACAAGGTTAGGGGGCGGAGCTATAAGAGCTATAGGAGGGGCGGAGCTAGAGGGGGTAGAGCTATAGGGGGCGGGGCTATAGGAGCTATAGGGGCAGAGGCTGCAGGCAGAGCAAAGCCCCTATAGGGAACCGGCAGCATCAACCAGCCCCTGTTCTCCGGCCTCAGACAGCTCCGTTAACCCTGGAACCTACTGACGGGCATGGCCCCCGTTAACCCTGGAACCTACTGATGGGCATGGCTCCCGTTAACCCTGGAACCTACTGATGGGCATGGC